TACCTAAAAGTATCTCGCAGCAATCATGACCTAGTCTACTGTTTCCTATCTATCCATAAGAACGACGGAGAGTAAGTGATTCGTGAACCCAGTGTCTTTCTTCCTATAAAGTCATCTATCTTCTCCTTGACAGGTGAATTTCACACTTCTAGCGTTACAGTACATTGGGAGAATTTCGTACGTGAGTTACCGATCAGTGTAATTACCTGGTTCAATGTTAGGCAATGATTGGGATGACTAACTGAGGTTTTTAAACATAAAAAGGCTATCCCATTCAGTGAAACAGAGCATAATCTTTCCTTTGATATGAATCATATGCATGAGGTCTGGAAAAATCAAGTGTTAACATGACGTTAAGATTTTTCTAGCCATAAGAGTGATGTAATGTCCTCATTGAAGCCGTCACACGTAGATGCTAACTTTGAAAATGGTACTCATTGGGAAAGTTTTACATTATGCTCGAAAGCTTTCAAGCGATCTATGACGTGAGGGTTCAAATCAGGCAACTCAGTCGGATGAACCGATTTAATGATTGGTGACTGACTTAGCGACGTCACGCAGCCACCATATCATCGAAGCATGAAGTAAAATGGAAATCATTGTTCTTTACCACTTTGACAACGGCATCGTACTTCTCTCACAATCAGCTTTCCATTTCATTTCCAGTTGCAGCATTATGTGTTAAATCAAGTAGTTAATGCTACAGTTGACCACTGTCCAGTTATGGAGATACAAGGCGACGGCCGCAGGAACGATCGTTGACGTCAAAAAGCTGTCTACCTTCTTCCCAACTTCTTTTGCCCATTTGTCATTGACCCTTTGCCAATGACCAGATCCGACTGCTCGACATTGGTTGCATCTGAAGTCAATGATGGTATCAGGCCAAAAATTTAGGTCATTTTTTGCACAACTTTCTAGTGTGAGGAATAATTGTTTTCTCCATTCCCTTATGTCATTTCTCATGCACTGTTCTCTGTATTACTTGTCCGGTCTGCCAGTGTGTCACAGTGAATGATGCTGTTAAATATTTTTGAAGCTTTCTCTGAGATATTACACCGATATTGTCTGCAAATCATGTGTGAAAAGGATGGAGCAGTAATTTTAATTTGTCATGGTATTTGGCAAGATTCTGAGCCTGATCGTAATTCTCTTTTCTGCAAGTACTTACCTCCTTGGTTCTTTTGAATACATAAATACAGAATTATTATTCTCTAGTTTTTGGTATTTCTTCACTTGTATGCTAATTATTTGCATATTTCTCGAGTCGATGTAAAGTACGTCAGCCCGTCAGTTACCAAAAATTACAATGCGCTTTCAATTGAGTGGGAGTTTTTCGTTGCGGCCGTTTGTTGATCAACCTGAATTTGATGCGCTGCTTATAACGCGCAATCGCTTCTTTCTTTCCCTTCACCAGTCTCTGCAGCTGGCCTGTGTGCTATTTGCACTTGACGAAACTCACCTATATAATCTCAGACGCTGAGCTGCAAATCATTTCAGGTACACCGTTGTGGAATTTGATGCGATGTCTGAAGAAGCTACAGTAATGCGAGCTTTGTGTATGTTCGGTAAGTGATATTCAACTACTGTAGCTTGTTTCGTAATAATGGTTCTGATTTAGTCACGTGTTTGAGCTGTGCTGTTGCGCAGTTGCAGACCGCATCTACACCCCTGACTGGTTTCGATGTGAGGCTGTCAGTGCTGAATATCTCCACGAGGTACACAGATGTGTGTCCGTTTGACACTTACATCAACTACCTGTGCAACAGTATCAACGTTCCTATTCAGCATCGTAACGGTGAAACGCGACATGCCATGCAGATATTGGAAGTGAAGTATAATTAAATGCTGATCAACCTAACTTACTGCGTAAGGGAACAGGCATAATGCCAATTTCCCCGTTTCCGTCGGTTCCGTTAGTTGCATGTCTTATATTTGTTGGTCACTTACAGTTGACAGCTGCAGTAGAATTGTCTGTCGCGTTACAAGCCAAGAAAATCGCAGGTGATGGATGACCGCGGCATTTCGTATTATACGACGACAAAAAAAATTTTCCGCCATTTTGGAATGATAACAGACACCACTGGAGGGACGTTGTGTGATGAAAGGGGCTGGCGCAATTCTCTCACGGTTCTTTGGGGCCTTAGAAATCTGACTTTGAAGTTTTATGCAGGGCGTAAAACTTATCCTAAAACCTAGCAACTAATTCCCTAATTGTGCTTCGGTGCGACCAGCTGAGAAATTGAGACCACGTCGTTGGCCTGCAACCAGTAAGGATCGCTAGACTGTCAGTCATAGTAGGTCAACGCATTCCACGCGGCAAACCATACAACACATTCTCAAAATCTGAATAATTCAAATAAGCATACAACAAAAATAACCAGTGAAAGTGTGAATCTTCATCAAGATGAAAAGCATGGTCTGACATAGCAATTGTCGTTGTATCACTTTCTGCTTTACTCGTAGGTGTTACATATGATACCCAGCCACTCACTGATAACCGACTAAAATCATCACAGGTTGTAGACCAGTTTTTCATTTCTTCACAGCCTACAAGTATGAAACAGCATACGTTCTTCATTGTTTTCTTCATTGCATTTCTCTGTAGCCCCTTTCGTATGGAATGGTATTTAAAATAGCACATTTCTGACAGAATGACATATCAGTTGTCTGTTGCAGCTTGAGTGACTGCGAGCCCTGCCCGTTTCATCGAGAGCTCCATTCAATTTGAAAAACGCTGCTAATCGCAACGAATCGCCAATCACAGAACCATCTCTCAGCGATTTTTGGACATAGAGACTGCCACTTGTCCTTTTCCGTTTATAAGTGCGTTCGTCGTTCACAACGAATGTAACTGACATGTTAAATCGTAGACCACGGCAGGACATTGAACTCGCAACAAAGAGGTTCTTGGTTGGATCCCCATTATTGCAATTTGCGTTTCTTTCTTAGGTTTATCACTAACAAACTCTCACTCTCCAGAAAGGAAACAGTTAATTGCACGTTATACTTGTCAGGTAGTTGTACACTTTGCTCTTAAAATAAGGCACTCCCGGCTGATGACCTGGAAATGTGGATTAACGCTCGAATCATTATTTTTTTGCGAAAATGAGCTTCAGATTGGCCTCATCATCAATATGTAAGCAAGTAGGACATTCGAACGGTTAGAAACTTTCTTTTCCACTTCCCTTTAAAAACGTAAGTTCAAGACTCGTTATTGCGAACAAAGCGTCTCTAATATCAACCACCGAAAATAAAGTCGACCGCTTCAATTTTGGAAGAGGGTGTTATTTTGATCAAGTGACACCTACGAATCACTCGAATGTTAGTAAGTTCACAACTCAGTTGAAATATCTGTTTCACGGCACAAACTCACTGTCTCCTTCCATTAAGCCCTTCTGGGAACTAGTTAAGTCGACCACAGCTCTACGGCATTGAGCCGGTGCCTACAGTCCGTCAGATGTAACAGCACATATCTGAGTTAAGCTGAAATAGTACACCATCGGGGGCCAATAAACTTTTCATTAGACATAGTCTGGTAGTAAGGGTCCATTAATATTTTCGAACGACAAATGGAAACAGTGTTTAACCTGTGATAAACTGTTCGTCCGTTTTACCACTGATCAGCACTTCGGACAACGGGAGCGTTGTGAGTAGTTCAGTGACATTTGATGACTAACTTACATTAATACAGAAAACAAATATTTAATAAACGAAGATATTCACCAAATTATGCTTTGGGAGCAGCGTTAAATTGAAAGTTACCCTGAATTCCATTGCACAAAATATTGACCTTAATTTACTCATAGCGGTCCTCGTGATTCTAATCCTGCCTCTGAACTAATATTCCTCCATTCCCAAAATTCTTGACCTTCTCTGTTGCTAGCTTTTATGCCAACAAAAATGACGGGTTTGAACAGCACAGAGAGGTGGTGAATTCGTCTACATTCTCAAACTTATCGCTTTCAGTGGCCCAGCAAGATGAAAGAATTTTGACATTGTCTTTACACAGCATATTCAACTCTGAGGGTGAACGACTATGCCACATGATGATTCTTCATTCGACTTTATTTGGTTCTGTGCATGCTAGAAACGCAAGCGGATACTCTGCCCATCTCTTCTTGAGTGTTTCTTTCTTTGTCAGTTGTTATGAGATAGTCCATTCTAGGTCCCGTTTTTCATTCAGTATTGACCTTGTCTCCTAAACAATCGTCTTTTAAGGCACATGGATTTAGAGAATTGGAGAAGTATTATCACTCGTTAGTCAGGACGGAGATCCCTTTTCATTGACGAGTCGTTTGGTGAAGCATCATCTCCATCTCTTATCTTACCGTAATAGGCATATCCTAAAGTTTATTCTACATGCTATCAAAAATCGGTTTAAAAGCTTGCATCTCAGATTTTATGATCATGTCAAACTTTCTAGATTATAGAACTTAAATGCCCTGTTTTCGGATTTTGCAAAGCGTTTAGAAATGGCAACTGCAAAAATTCTAAACATAAATCTTGTAATTCCATTTCACATTTTACGGTTCTGTAAAACACACTGCCTTTCGTTCCTTATAGACGCACAGGTGATAGAGCAACTGTCTCGTTTCGAATTACCTACACTCCGAGAAACGTGGCTTCAACTGCTATGCCGAGTTTGACGCAGTGCCGATATGTGCCGCTAGAGGGACAACGGACAAACACGATTTCAACAAGTATCTTTCAATAAATTTCTGAATTGTCTCTAACTAATTTTATTTAGAACTTTGGATAAGCACGGTTTTGTACTTACTTCCGTTTTTAACACAAAAATTTTCTCATGGGATTGTGGATTCCGAATTGTACCACATTTATAACGTCAGTTTGGTGCCATCACCGAGCTCAGTAACGCATTTGACATTTCCGCTAATTCAAATCGATTGTGACGGTCAAGACCAGGAGCTAAGCGTTTATGGCACAAAAAAGACGTACAGGCTTTGCAACCCGAGGCGAGGCGAATTAAGGTTGACCTCTAACATGACCCTCGTGTTCAGTTCGCCAGTCGTCATAGTTGCTTACATGGACGAGATGTTCGACATGTTTTCTATCTCTGCTATTACCGGTACGAAAGTTTTACACCACGTATAGTGCTTTTTTTTTAAATGTGTTTCTCTTCAGCCTTATGCGTATATATTTAACACAACATGAACGGCGAACAGTGAAACCTTTCATTGACAACCTACAGACCTTGAGGTAGCAATTACCCGGTCGCTGCGAGCAGCATGCAGTTAGAAGAAACTATATCGATTCAAAACACAAGCCCAGTCCGTTTCACACTGTTACTTTCTTTCTGTATATTATGCATGACCAATCTCCTTTGACCAAGCTGCTTTACAGTATTTGTTTTCAACGGTATCCGCGATTTAAATCATTTTCATACTTCTCTTCTCATGCGCCCACAGGAAAGCATGAACTTCGAACTCATATCGAAATTAGTATCCCATCTGATTTTTCTGTGTGTACCTAATTCTTATCGACGTCCAGTATACCTGCTTAATATTTCTCCGGTCTCATTCACTTTTGTACATTTGATTTAATGCTGTACTGGCTGCCGTTTATTTCTGTAGAAACTGTCGTTCCATCACAACTGAGGGACTCGTTCTTTATTTCTTTCTGGCAATAGACTTATTTTTGTCGAGACTTCAGATACCATTTCTGATTGATTATTGCCCTTCCACTGGATACACTGATTGAATTTAGCCGTTGTTGGCAGCTGTTCATTGCAGCAAAGATGATATAGTATCGTCGAATCGCCTCAGGACTGAACAGAACATTATATATTAATGCAAAAGGCAAACAGTATTATGAATCTGCCGTTCGACAGGTAGCAGTTTTTCATCTCGTCCCTGGAACCTTCTTCAATATATGTTTGTCGGTGCGAAATTCTGATATAGTGGTTATTCTTGTCTGCAGCCTCAGTATGAGCTATTGGTAGTTTCTGCTCGTTCAGCTGTTTTCTGGCCACAATGATTCTTCCATTAAACGGAGAGTTCGTAAATTTTGTCACGGAGGACATTTTGGCAGTACTTGATAATTGGTGCACCCTATTCAACCACCAGAGATTTTTTCTCTCATGATACTGATGCACTCTTAA